GGGATGGAGCAGGACCCGCTCCCATCTCCTCCCGCAGCTGGGCAGGAGCTCGGCGCAGACTTTGGGATTTCGGCTCCAAAGCATCTGGCTCCCTCTTGCGTTCCCGTGATTGCGGCAGGGAAAGGGGACGGGACAAATCCCGGCTGGTGGCACCTGCTCCTGGAGCCAGGAGTGACCCCAAACGGACCGGCTCCGCATTCGGGCACCTTTGGGCTCGCAGGGGTCACCCCGCTGCTCCCAGAGCACCCCAGGGAACAGGAATGGGATGTACAGATCCAGCACACGCAAACTGAGCCATCAGGGATGAGTTCAGACTCAGCCAGAGCTTCTGCCCTGGAGAAATCCCACCTTTCCTGCGTGATCCCGATCCAGCACTGGACTGGCACATCCCACACTCATTCTTGCATTCCTTCTCAGCGATTCCAAGACTATGAAACTATTTCAGCTGTACAAATRCACCAGAACTTTGGTTTCCCAGCATTTTACCCTGGTTTATTATTTTTTTTTTTTCCTTTTTGTGTTCTGGGTGGCAGATGCTGATTCCCACTGCTCCTACAGCAAAGACAGGAGCAGAAAGAAGAGGGGAAAATCCACCTGGAAACTGCTTTTTATGCAACACTTCTGCCCTGGAGGCTGAAGGTTTAGAGGTGGTGGTTTTTCCTTCATTGAGTTACTTTTAGATTTCTTCCAAGGTCATTAATGGGTGTCAGGAGACAAAGGAAAGCTGTGTGAGGCAAAGCAGAGAAAGGGATTTATTTTCCAGCAGATGTTCTACAACTCTCCTAACCAAGGAAAAAGTGAGTGCAAGCAGGCCAGGCGCTGTCAGCTCTGAATTGTGCTGCCTGACTCGATTTTTCTGCTTTGTCTTAAATCGTAATTAGAATTAATGATTATTTTTTATTCCCTTAGCCAGGTTGTCTGGTTATCTTCAGGCAGCTSCTGCAGCAATCAGGGAAGACTCCCATCCCCTAATTTAGGTGAAGGTGGTAAAACACCCACAAGTGATTTCTCCGTGCTCCTCTTTGAAAAGAGAGGAGTGGGAAAGGTTCTTTTATTGGGAATTGCAGCAGTTGAGGGGAAGGAACCCAAAGGAGTTATTTGGRATTCAATTCGATGGAAACCATGGATGCTGTGACAGAGACCAGGCTGGGTGTGGGGGAGATTTTTCCATTTCCTGCCGGGTTTGAGTCGTCTGAGTCTCCAGCGAGGCCTGATAAAGATGTGAGAGTTGTCCCAGATAATGAGTTAATTGTTTAAAACTGTTTCTTTTTCTTACACATCATTCTCAGGGGTTATTTTTAAATATTTTTAATATTTTCCACATCTCTGGAAAACAGAGCATCCCTCTGGGATGGCAATTTTCCAGGAGATGCGACAGATCTTTTGGAACAGATACACGAAGTTTCAGCACAGCTCAAAGGTTCAGGGGCAGGTTTGGCCACAAGAAACCTGCAGGGAGGAGTTTCCAGGAGGAAAAAAAAAAAAAAGCCCTTTTTGCAGGAATGGCATTCATCCTTCCCTCTGCACAATGAGATGTGCAGGTACCACGGGAACGAGGAGGCTTTGTCCTCCCTCCCCTGCATCCTCCCTTTGTGTCAGGGATGCTGAAGGATTGCAGTCAATCATCTCTCCCCCAGCACCTCCCCCAGCCCCTCCGGACAACAACGAGATTGCTTTGGCCTCCAAACTGGCGAATATTTTCCTGCTGAGGGATGTCTCTCAAATTATCAGATTTTTAAGGTGTTTTTCTAGTGTTTTTAAGGCGTTTTAAAGYRCTWTTAAGGCRTTTTTGAAGGCGTTTTKAAGGTGTTTTARAGGTATTTTWARGKKKTTTTYMAWKKKTTWTWAAWTKKTTTTWARGKKKTTTTTCAATGTTTTTTCAAATTGTTTTTAAGGTGGTTTATAAATGGTTTTAAAATTGTTTTTAAAGTGTTTTCCCTCACTAACTGCAGCAAGGTGCTGCCAGGAATCGGGCTAGCATTCTGCTGCTATTTCTGCAGAATTKCTGTCTTTTTAATTATTTAAATTTAAATTAATCTATTTCTGTCCTTTTTAATCTTTCTCCTTTTTTTAGGCTTTTTCAGCCTCAAATCAAAATTAGGCTTTGTATTTTTACAACTCTTCCGGGGRAAGGACAGCAGCTGAGGCCACAGCACCAAGGACAAACATTTTGCTGAGGTATCCCGAATAAATTTGGAATTTATTCCAATGAAGGTGCAAACCMGAGAGTCCTGAGTCAATCAGCAGATCCAAAAACAACAGCTGAGATGTCTCCCTGGATATTATCACACATCCACAAATATTTCTCAAGTGGGATTTAATAGACACAGCAGGGTTTTGCTTGCCATGGAAATGAGGAGAAGAGCTGGCAGAACCCTTGACACGGTTTGGATTTATTGGAATATTCATGGCAGTGACCAAATTGGAGAGGTTTGAGCTAAATTTCCATTGTTTTGAGCTAAATTTCCATTGTTTGGAACTAAATTTCCAATGTTTTGAGCTAAATTTCCATTGTTTTCCAAGGAATCTGCACGGTGAAGGAAGGAATATGGGATTTTTTCTGTCTGGTTGTGGTTTTCCAGCACCCTCAACGCTGACCCCTCGCCCCACCCCATCCATGTGCCAAAAGTGGAGCATTCCCAACAAATCCAACMTGGAAAAGCAGCTCTGGAGCACAACAGCAGCTCCTTTTCCCCACCCCCGATGCCTCTCCCTCACTCCACAAAGCAAACAAGGGAGGCAAAGCTCTTTTTGTCTCATCCTGGGAACGAGAGCGGCAGATGGGAGAGCCCAGGGAACAATGGGATAATGCTGAAAGGGGTGCCAAGGACACAATCGGATAATGCTGAAAGGGGTGCCAAGGACACAATGGGATAATGCTGAAAGGGGTGCCAAGGACATGGGGGCAGAGGGGGATACAGAGGGAACATCAAGAGGAGCAGTTCCAGCCCAGCCAGGGCTGGTTTTATTCAGAACATTTCATTCAGCTGCCGTTTCAAGGTTTCGGGGTTGTGACTGTGAATCGCTGTTGCTTGGCAGGAAATCAGGCCTGAAGGACACCTGAAGTGCTGCTACCAAAATTCACTCCAAAACCAGCAGCGACCAGTTAGGGTTCACATAAACACCAGTGCACACCAGTGGAGCAGAGGGGAAATGGCAAAGCTCTCAAAATCAGGAGGAAAAAAAAAATACAAGGGTGTCAGGAAAAAAGATGGGAAGCTCAATGTGGACACTGGGAAACAGCACTAATTTCATTAAAGGATTATCCTTCATAGAGGATTTTCTCTTTGACAAGGTTGAAAAACTTCCCTTCTCTGTTTGAGTTCTGTGGGGAGGACCCAGAGCAGCCCCAGGGGGGTTTTTCAGAGCATCCATCTCCCACCCCATCCCTGACCCCCTTGGAGAACCCACAGTGCAAGGATGAGCTTGGAAAGGATTAAATCCTAAATGCTGCTCCCTTCCTTCCAATCCAGCAAAGCACTTAAGCTCATCCTCTTGCTGCTTTAACTAGAATTCATAATTAACTGCTTTAACATCTTTCATTGGCATAATTGCAATGGATAATCAGTCAYGACAAGAAAATGCCTCGAGCGTTTCTTGGGTTTCAGGTTTGGGATTCCAACCAAAAAATTGGGATTTGGTTAAAAAACCCACAGACACGATGTTTTGTGCACCTTGTTTCTTTAATGGCACAGGACCCTCAAACTTTCCCTGCACATCAGACAGAAGAGTTGGTGCTCTGAGTTTTTTGACAAACTATTCTAAACACACTGATACCACAAAATAAAAGCTGTTTTCTAAACTGGGTTTTAAAAAACATTTTTGTGCCCTTGTAATGGATACAAAAACAGATTTTCCCACCAAACTTCTGGCCACATTTCATGTCTAAATAATGTGTAGTCAAGAGATGCTGCAGAACCTTCCCAGCTGGGAAAACCCCATTATTGCTCCTGTAAAAACAAACTTGCAGGTCCTACAGGGAAGAATTTTCAGAGCCATCTCCTAAAGGCTTTTCCAATTTAATGTGAATTTTGTTCTGTAAGTGTCACACTCCCTTCCCTGTGAAGAGTGAGAAGGTTCTTCTGCAGATAAAGGCCACAGAAAGGTCCCCATTCCATCCCATCCCATCCCTGCCTGCTGTGGTCACACCCTCCCATAAATGCACCCCATTCCTGCAGTATTTCCTACAGGGTTGGCCAAACAAATCTCCTTTCTCATGTGCTCCCTGCCAGCTCATTGGGGTGAAAAACTAACAAAAGGGAAATGGGGCTATTTCTGGACAGAAGAGGCTTTAATTTTTTGCTCCTAAGTGCAGAAATCTTTTTTTTTTGCTCTGACCCTAATTTTGGGGGGCCAGGCTTGGTCACCGTCCTGTACAGAGCTGCCACCCTGTGAGTGGCATCAAGGGGACATCCAGGGGCACAGTGGGAGCTGTGTGAGGAACACAAACTGCAGCACTGCTCCCTTCCTACCTGCAGTGATTCCTCACCTCCTCTGCAAACCCAAAAACATCAGAGGAAATTCCCACAATATCAATGTGGGTGTCATAAGGAATGGTCAGCACTTCGGGATATTGGGGTTTCAGTCTTTCACAGAGCCGTCTGTATCTCAGCTTCTCCCCTCTGCCGTGGTTCTCAAAGCAGATCCTTTCCCTCCATAGAATCTTCTGGAGTTTTACAGAACAATTTTCAATTCTCTTCTTGACTCTTAAGCYGTGCTCAGYACCCGCCCTGGTCCCAGAACTCTCRATGCACACYGTGGTGATGTCCCCATTGCTGACCCCAGAAATGACCACATCCTCTGCCTGGAATGTTTTAGGCAGGAAATGTCTCATGTAGTGATAGATATCCGTGTCCAGAACCACCACTTGCTTTTCCCCGGGTGCATCCTGCACAGAATTCCTGGACTCTGTGACATCTCCATGCTCCTGCACCCTCTGATGGGATTTATCCACCTCTCCTTTGTCCTTTTCTGAGAGAGATTCTGCTTTCAACAAGAGGAAATCTCGGAGCACTCTGAGTGCTGGGAAGGAGCCTTGCACAGCCACGTGCCCGTTGRGCTGCAAAGGCCCAAAGCTCAAAGCCGGGCTCTGCTTTTTCATTTCTTCCAGCAGCTTCTCTAAAACACAGAGATCTTTGAACACAGCCATGTCGAGGGTGGATGTGACAGAGGGAAAAACCTGGAATTTKGAATTGGAGAGGTTAAGGGGTGGTTAATAAATGGAAGAATCATGAGGTAAATGAGGGAGGAGCTCACGTTGTCACAGCAGCGGCTCACGGTCAGGGGGAAGTGCCTGGGCAGCCTCCTGTCCTGCAGGAGATGCTGATCCTTCTTCAGAACATTTTCCACAACTGCAAATAAACCCACATTCACTCGTTGAGCAGYAAAATTGTCACCTCCAGCCTGCCAGAGCCCTTCATGCAACCATTTCCCAAACACACCCACGGGCACTCAATACTCCCAGCTAATATTTTATGGATTTCTCCAAATTGCTCAGGGAGACAGAACCCTGTCTTCTCAGCACATTAATTGGCAGAGATTTATTCCCCAAAGCCTGACTACAAAAATAATATGTTATTCGTGGCATAAATTTATTCCTGCAAGACAAACATAACGCTCTGCATGATGACTGAGTCATTACTTCCAYGAGCAGGAATAAAATCCTGAAATTTGGCCTGATTAACAGAGAAGCTTCAGTTTCCCAGTTCTGTAAAGCCTCAGTGCCTGTAAAAAATTTAAATTCACTTGGCTTGGGATACACATTGTGGGGCTAATTTTTTTTGGGGGGGTGGCTGTATTTTGATAGGTTTTAATTTACAATTTATTCATCTAAATACCTCCTTGGTCTTCAAAGGTTACGTAGGCGACTCCTTTGTTCCGTGTGGGATACGTGACCTCTTCCACGTCGCCGCCGTTGTTCCTGGACTTCTGGAAGTGGATGGTCAGGATGTCAGCCATGAGCTCATCCTGCACGAGGCCATCTGGGATCCCAGTGATCACAACCGTCCTGGTGGCTCTGGCACTTTGCCCCGTGGCCTGGGCAGAGATGGCACATGGTAARTGCAGATTCACCCCCAGAGTGAATCCCATTCCCTTCCCAATGTTCATTCAGGGGTTAATTCATCCTGCTGAATCACATCTCAGGCTGCCTCAGGCACCTACATTACTGTGCRCTAAAAAACAGCTTTAAATGACATTTGCATGCTCTCAATATCTTCTTAAAGCAGCAAAAATGAGCCCTAAATTGAMGTTTCCCCACTGGAAGGTTCAGGGTCACACTGATAACGTGGTTTCCTACGATTGTGATATTCAGAATGAATGGAAAACTGTAAGTGCATGTGGCGCTCAGCAAGGATTCCTTGTAGAGTGGAATGTAACAAATTCCTTGTTAAATTCAGGAGCTGGGGCTGTGCTCTGACTCATCTCTCTCCATTTATTCCATGGATAATATTGTTAAATTGGGAGAACACGATCCCAGTCAGCCCAGA